AGGGCTAATAAGTTTGACCTTAAAATGTTCTTTAAAAAATTAAAAACTGCTTTTACTACAGCCGAAATAAAACAAATAAGACTTTCTCCAGAAGAAAAAATTATATTACCTCAACTTAAAGTAACACGTGTGCAGAAGCTTTTTTGGGTGAACATGCAAAGTTTTTCTCTCAAAACAATTTTTTTTTTACTTAATGAAGAAAATTTTGATTTAGGTTAAGTAAAAGTCATTATTTTTTTTACAGTGTGTATGGATGTTTTCCAGTACTGGGTTACAACTGGAAGGGCATCCGCTGTGTAAAACATATGCTGGGTAAGGCAGCGGTTCATTCTGCAGTGGTGACCCCTGATGACTAAGCCGAAGGAAAATAAATGAATGAATGATTCTATAACAGCACCTGTTGGAGTGATACATCTTTCACATCTCCTGCATGCTCACATCAAACAGGAACTGAACTGAACTGAACAGTAACAATATGGTCTGTCATTACATACTGCACAGAACAGTGTCCTTTCTTTCAGAGCAATGAAATGACGAGGTTGACATTTGCCTGCTGTCTCTGGTGTATCTCTGCCAGCAGATGAAAAGAGGAAAAGGTCTCTCATTAACAAAGAATAGGTTAGTGTACCATATCTAGCTCATGCATTATACACCATGGTATAATTACACTGCAGTTTCATAAGCTGTCGGTTTGTTTTTTAAGAGGTCTGTCACTGCAGTTTAGCCTAATGTGATGGTAAATCTAATCTCACCCAATCAAATTATACCATTATTTAAATGAAGTGCGCTGTGTGTTAAAAGCATTAGCGTGCACTGCTGTGAGGCCTAAAATATATATATATATATATATATATATATATATATATATATATATATATATATATATATATACCCAAATTATGTTAAACAGAGCAAGGAAATTTTCACAGTACATCTGATAATAATTTTTCTTCTGAAGAATGTCTCATTTGTTTTATTTCGGCTAGAATAAAAGCAGCTTTAATAATAATAATTAAAAAAAAACATTTTAAGGACAAAATTATTAACCCTTTAAGGATTATTTCCTGATGGTCTACAGAACAAACCATCAACAGTAATAGTCAACCAACAAACTATAAGCCTTTAAATGTCACTTGAAGCTTTACCGAAGTGTCATAAAAAATATCTAGTAAAATCTTATTCAAATAATATGTCATCACGCAAAAATAAAATAAATCAGTTATATTAGATAAGTTATTAAAACTATTATGTTTAGAAATGTGTTGAAAAAATTGTCTCTCCGTTGAATAGATAGGAAAAAATTAACAGGGACGCTAATCATTCAGGAGATGCAAATAATTCTGACCTTAACTGTGTATTATATATATATATATATATATATATATATATATATATATATATATATATATATATATATATATATATATATATATATATATATATACACACACACACCACACACACACATACATTTATTTTATATAATAAACAGGCAACAACAACACACGCACACAGCTACACACAAACTTGTAGCTATCTTCATGGGCACTTACATAATGATTTTTAAACCGTACAGACTGTACTTTTTTATCATCCTAACCCAACCCCCACATAAAACAGTTTTACATTTTCAAGATACTCCATTTCACAATGTCATGCCTTTTCAAATTGGCCATTTTTATGTGTTCTCCCTGTCTGCATAACGAAGAGACAGCAGGTCAGATCAGCATTGATTCCTTTCAGAAATGCCTAATCATGACCACATGGGGGCAGCAAATCACTAAAAAGCCATTCAGATAACAAAGAAAAGTATAAATGTATTGTAATACATATGTTTTTATTTATATATACAGTATATGATAAAGGAATAGAATTTATAGAGAAGTTCAGTTTTCCGGTGCCTCCACGTGATTATAGTATTGTAATTGATGCAATACCAGCAGCAGGCCTGGTGAGGCTTTTGCAGGGTTACAGTGAATCAAATAAGCTAGCAGTTAAAAAAGAGATTTTATGGTGTTGATAACAAAGATAGAAAATGCAACAACACATTTCTTAAAAGTTTGATTATCCTGCAACTTTTATAAGGAATAACCTATTTGAGAATATCAATTGGAAACTGATTTGACTTATCAATATTGTGTCAATAATAAAGTCAGTGAAATAAAACTTTAAAAATATACATAAAATATATCCAACCAGCCAGTTTCTCAAGATATTTAAAGTTAATCTTTCTGAATTTTGTTTTTTTCTGCAGAATGGATGTTGAGATTGTTTTGCATCTGTTGTGTTTATTGTAGCCTATATGTACAGTTAGGTCAGAATTATTAGCCCCCATTTGATTTTTCTTTTTTAAATATTTCCCAAATTATCTTCAACAGAGCAAGGAAATTTTCACAGCATGCCTTATAATATTTTGTCTCCTGGAGAAAGTCATATTTGTTTTATTTAGGCTAAAATAAAAGCAGTTTTTAATTAAAAAAAAAAAAAACGTTTTAAGGTCAAAATTATTAGCCTCTTTAAGCTATATATTTTTTCAACACTCTAGAACAAATCACTGTTATACTACAACTTGCCCAAGTACCCTTACCTGCTGAGTTAACCTAATTAACTAAGCCTTTAATTGTCACTTTAAGCTGTATAGAAGTGTCTTGTAAAATATCTTGTCAAATATTATTTACTGTAATCATGGCAAAGATAAAATAAATCAGTTATTAGAAATGAGTAATTAAAACTATTTTTTTTTTAGAAATTTGTAGAAAAGAAATCTTAAAATTCTGTTAAACAGAAATTGGGGAAAAATAAACAGTGGGTCTAATTCTGTTTTCAACTGTATGTTAAATATTTCTGATTTGATATTGAATGTTTATTTAATACTATGAGTGGTCATGGAATTAATATAAAGAAAAGAGAATAAAAAAATAGAGATAAGAATCTCCTGTTTGTGTTAAATCTTTTGATATTATTAGGAAAGGTTCATATACACAAGTGTAAATGGTCAGAGAGGAAGCCTAATATCTTCCACTTCAAAGCTCCTGTCAAACTTTATTTAAAAACACTTAAAGCAATCAAAACTTTAAATACGGGCCTACTCCAAGAACTAAACTTCTCTTCTATATAGTAATTGTTATGTTTACTTGCTCTTGTTCATTTTCTTTCTCTCTTTCTTTTGTTATTTTGCTTACATATTTTATGATAAAATGTGAATATCCAATTGAAAGATTTATACATTTCATTGGAAATGTTCAGCATATACACATACATCAATATATAAAATCTGTGATATAAATGATTGCATATTTATCTTGTATACAACTTAAATAATTAAATAAATAAAAAAACAAACAAACAGTATAATAATAATATGATAATGATAATGATAACAACAACAACAACAACAACAACAACAACAACAACAACAACAATAATAATAATAATAATAATAATAATAATAATAATAATAACGTGTTTTAAAGAAAACGGCATAATTAAAAAAAAAAATCTGCATTTCAATTTCTATTGTATTGCCTTTCTGTTCAGATTTATATTAAATTACAACGATGATGGAGTTATGTGAAGGCTTATTTTATAGAATTAATTAATTTATAAGTTAATTAAATAATTTATAAGTGAGAATAATAATAATAATGGCGGCGCAGTATGTAGTCCTGTCGCCTCACAACAAGAAGGTTGCTGGTTCATGTATGTATGTATGCGAATGACTGTGTATGGGTTTCCCAGTGATGGATTGCAACTGAAAGGGCATTCGCTGCGTAAAACATATGCTGGATAAATTGGTGGTTAATTGCGACCCCAGAATAATAAAGGGACTCAGCCGAAAAGAAAATTAATGAATAAATTAATAATAATAATATTGATAATACAGGGAATTTGGTGTTTTTATGTATTTTTATGTTTACTAAATTAAAATTACCACTCAAGAAAGACAGGTAGTAAGAAGAAACTCTACTGATATCATACGATGGTAATAACATTTTTATTGAAGACACAACTTTTTATTTTTAATTAAAGAATGCAAAAATACAACCACAATCAGGAGATCGATATTAGAGACATAAAATTGAGAAAAATACAAATTACATTAGCAGCAGAAAGAAAAAAAAGATTAACAAAACAAAGGAAGGGGTGAGTAATTTACAATTGTATAAAAGTGTATGAAAATAAATTGAGAGCATTAGGAAAGCGTTCAAACTCAAATCAGAGTCAATAGACAGCAGTTCTTCATATAGAACCAGGAATCTGACACATTTTTTGTTTTACACATACAGAAAGATTTGAGCAGTGAGTCAACTTCAATCAGAAAATGTTGAAAGGTAGGGGTTGAAGCCATGCATTTTTTGCTTACACTGTAAAAAATGTTTGTGAAAATAACAGTGAAATTCTGTAAAATTGTGACATCTAAATTTTGTAAATAGAAAAACAATGAAACAGCGTTAAATTTACAGTATGCTTTTGTAAAAAATAAAAATACAGTTGTAAAATGTTAAACTAAATTAAACTGTTAATTGTACTGTAAGACTGTGTATCAATGACAATGTTTATTTGTAAAATTTACTGATCACTGTTATTTGAATAGTAAAAACATGTAATACTGAAAACTGCTGTAAAAATTACAAAATGATACTAAACAAACAAAAATCAGCTATTACAGATAAAAAAAAAAGCAAGTGTAAGCAAGTAGAACTATCACAAATGTTATCCTACATGACATATTTACAAGTTTTAAATGAGGGGTTTTAAGGCAATGTGTCTGTTTAGAATTGTCCTTATGGTCTATAAGCTATTTTAGCTTTGCTAATTATCATATTTAATGTAGGCTTATATAGAAAGATAAGGGTTATTTGTCCCCAAGGGTCCTTTATTTTTGCGATGTGTTTCTATTTAAAATGTATGCTTTTGCGTAAATTAACGTCTGCGTTTGAATTTCAAACTATGTTCTGCCTTGTCCAATCACCAATCGGCTATCTGATTCTTGCGGGAGCAGCCATTTTACAGATATTGTTTGTGAGAGCGCGCGCTCAATCTGTCCGGCCCGCGAATAAAGCTGTGGAAGACGTCTTGCAGCATTTCTAACTACCGAGGCACTGGTAAGTTTAGTGAAAAGTTGGTTTACTTTGTACTTTAAACGCTTTACCATACAAACACCTGCAAAAAAGGAGAGGGTATTATTTGGGGTGTTGCACGGTCTTCGGAATAATAATCTGTGTTACAATGCAAATGTAACTCGGCCACTTGTCGTATCGTCCGACTAACGTAAAGCTGAAAAAAACTGAAGATTTTGTTAGAAGTCTAAAGATGATTAACGTTACGTGTCATTTTTGCAACAAAACACTTGACACACTGAGACGTTAACGTTATGTGTTGCATTGTAAAGTTCACAGAAACGAACCCCATTGTTTTTTTCAAATGTGTTATTGCTGGTTGTATGCGAACATTTTGCGCTTACGCTGCATTAAAAGCACATGTCTATAGGGATCACATTGAGTTTGCCTCAACCGTTAGTACTAAAGCAGTTTTTGCTGATTTAAATGTGCCATTTTGTTGTGTGACCGCACGTTTAACACGGCTAAAGATTTAATAAGCCACTTAAAAGAGCATTTAGCGGATGGCCGACCTGTGTCTTGTCCAGTAACGGGTTGTAATACTTTTACAATCAATCGTCTTTTACAACTCATGATCAGGAAGCATAGAGCTGCTTCAAATGATACTATAAGTGATAATACCCATAATTTGGGTTCACACGCCATTGGTGGGTTAACTGAAAATTTCAGTCATGCTCAATATTTTTGCAGGTATTGTGAAATCACAAGAAATGAATTTCAGAGCGATAACTTAAATGTTTGTGGTCCACAGTGAACCCCTGAAACTTGATTCTGTTGTTCATGATTTACAATCTGAAGACTATCAAGAGATCAAAGGAATAAAGGTAAATTCTGCTGTTTTCAATACTTGAAATCTTTCCATGCCTGCCTTTTTACCCAAGTCTTTACAGTGAATCAATCAAACATACAGAGAATTTTTTCTTTTTAGAGTTTAATACTACTGACAGAAATAATGTATAAAGGAACATCATACAAAAAGGGACATTTTCTTGTGTCTAAAAATTATGAGTTTGATTTTGGAGAACTTCTCATCATTTTAATTCAAAATGGCGAAGCTGTGTTTTTGTAATGAGAATACAAAGAGCTGAATATCATTTTGAATACCATCTGTACTCTATGACTAAACAGAGTAACTGGCTACAGTGTCTTAGCATTAATGACTTGGTTGATTTTTATCCGCTAATATCATACTTTGGTAATGGGTACCAAGTCATTCTGCTGAAACACAGCGTGCTGTTGAAGTAAAGAGATCTTGTCCACAGAGGTGGAAAAAATATGGTAAAAATCATCATGTATGCTTAGTTAAAATAACATGTAGTTTAAAGAGATAGTTTTCCCCAAAATTTTAAGTGTTGATATCATTTACTTAACCTTGACTTTTTTTTTTTCTTTTTTCAAACCTGTTTGGGGTTTGTTTGTTTTTGTTTTTTTCTCAAGAGGATATTTGAAGAATGTTGTAACTGTTGACTTCTATAGTATTTCTTGCTACTATAAAAGTTGATGATTACAAGTTTCCAACATTCTGCCCCCCCCCCCCCCCAAAAAAAAAACTCAAACTAGTATTTAATGTGTCAAGGGTAAATAAATTATACATTTTAAATTTTTAGGTAAACTATCTCTTTAAAATAATAGTAAGATCTGAATTTTTGTTTTATTTGCATTTAGATGAACAGAAATAAACTCTTAATAAATTTAATAACTACATGTTTAATCACTACTTGCTTAATTTCAGTATTGACTGACTTGGAGACAACATTTCTTCGTACTGCCATCACAGAGGTCTTGCCTAACCTTCCAGAGGCAACAAAAGATATTTTAGATGAGTTATTGCAATCCATTGGAGTGGAGACATATGATGATTTTCAGTTTATTGAGGAATCTAATTTGATGACAGCATTGAGGCCAATCCAAGCTCAAAGTTCTTGCTGCTTGGAAGTTAAGATGTAAGTCGTGTTACAGAGCAGAATGCTACAAGACAAGTTCACAAAGTAACAGGTGTAAAAAAGGTCTTGAAAAGAAAAAAACAAAAACTTTGTTACTGACTATTGTTTGTTTATGATCTTTTGCAGGCCAGACACCAGAAACAAGCAGCTCATCACAACCTTCCACAGCCTTGCATAGTTCACCTGCAAGTTCTCAATCGTCCTCCACCAGCAGCTCCCAAAGCCCAGATGTAGACTGGGTGGATACGTTTCTGATACCATGGGATACATTTTTTGGAGAGAGAAAAACTACCAAGTTCACGAATGAGAAGAGAGATGGTCCGAATTGTGGTAAATGAGATTCTTCACTAAAGAATAGTACCCTGGCCCAACCACACCCCCATCTATTACTCTGTATACTTTGCTAGCAGTCTTTTTGAATTCCATTCACTGGACATATCCAGTTTGTAAAAGTACAGTTTCAAGTTTTCAGGAAGAAAAAATTCAGAACATCAAACTCAGTATTCTAAAATTCTAAACCAGATATTCAGATTGTGAAATTCAGATTCAGCAGAAAGTAGGTCAGGAGTCATCAACAGGGAAGAGTAGACGATCACTGAAAAGTTTAAGCTAAAATTAAGCATTTTGGCTATTCACAGAGCTGTGTGAGTTTACTGGTGTTTTTAAGGCTTAAGAGGACACAATTCTTCTGCAAACTGACTATCGGAGTCCGCTATTTTCAGTAGTTTGTGTAATAAATATGCTTCAGTGAACTAAATTCATATATTTAATTCAGTTACATCTCATTGATTAATCAGTTTCATTTTCAAACTCCCTGCGCTTAACAGCTGTGGTAAATGACATATTTGCATGCTCCTGCTTTTTTGTCAAATTATACAGGATATTATATTGTTAAATTTCATAAAATTATATAAAATATTTATTACAATATTTATAGTACAGCATAGCATATAGTATTTTAAGGAAGATTTGAATGATGTTTGGCCAAAGCCTATCATCAACACTGAAATGCTGCCCGTTTTAAATATCTATTGGCATCCAAAATGTCATATTTAACCTTGCATTTATATTTATTTGAATGATCAGATTTTTCCATATATTTAAAAATATGACATTATTTTTTAGCTAAAATACGTTGAAACCAAAATGTCCAATAGGTGGCGCCAAATCCCTATCTTTGTCATTGAATTGTTCATTCAGAGTCATTCGATTCAGCTCATTTATAAATGAATTAAGTGACTCACTATGAATGACACGCTCAGAGATTCTTGTTAACCTCATTTGTTAAGTGCTTTAAACTTTGTTTCAAATGGTTACAACATAAGAGGTGGTAAGTTTATTGTTGTGAATAATGTACAGCGAAAGCCACTTGATGATTTTTCAACGTTTTTTTTTTATGTGACCCGAAACTAAAAGCATCCTTCCCCTAGCCCGCCACCCCCCCCCCCCTGACCTACTGTCTGCTGAATCTGAATTTCACAATTTGAATTTCTGGTTTTGAATTTTACAATATTGAATTTGATGTTCTATATTTTTTGTTCGGAAAACTTGAAACGTCTATAAAAAAATTTCAGCCTTAAATTTAGTTGTCTTAAATTTCAGATGTTCATTATTCAAGTTAAGAAATTCAAATTCAAATTTTTTTACGGCATATAAAAATTTAGATTTATAGAATTACAATTGTCAATAATTCAAACTAACACAATTCAAATTCAGATTGGAAAATCATATTATTAGCTCCATAATTTACAATAAGAATAAATGTGTTACCATTAGTAATCATGAATGTACAACAATACTTATATGGTGTTTATTAATTGTTGTTACTAAAATTATTATGTATTTCAAGATCAAAGACTGTTATGATAACATTTAATATAATAGTAACATAAATCTTGTAAAAGATTTTTTAATTTGTTTGTATTTTTTACTTTTATGGTATTGTAAATAAATACCAAATGTAACTTTTATTTAACTTTTTTCTTAGGCCAATCCTGCTTTTCATCGAAGCGTTTCCTGCTGTGTGTGGATCGAAATGTTGTACATGACAACATCCCCTCCTTTATTTCTGCCCTGTGCATGATGTTTGGGAGCTATTATTGCTTCGACATCCATTACCCATCAGAGCTGGCATCAATCTTGGAGTTTTTGCAGAAGTATGTGTTTTTGTACAGGCTACAACATTGAAGTGAAAAAAATTAAAGTAATTGATGCAGTGGCTTTTTATGAATACTTAAATTGCTAATGCAAAGTTTTCTTTTTATTTTCCCTGGTTTATATGTATAGGTTAATACATTTCAATATAGTTTCAATTAAAAAGGTATTTTTCCCCAGAAAAAATAAGTAGTTTTTTTTATCATTAATACAATTTAATTTTTTCTGTTTTTTGCCCAGGTGTTTCTTCTCTATCAACCCAGAGAAAGGCACTAAAGTGGAGAAGACAAACACAGCCCGTCTTCATGTGAACCCAAGAGTTCTTACCTTGATTCAGGAACTTTCAGATCATGAATGGCGTGACGTCTAAATATGGACTGAAGTCAGTAAGATTTGACATACAGTGAATGCCAGTTTCTCAGGTTTGTTTGATCTGCCATGCTTAATGTATGTGTTTAAGTTAGTACACAACTATTAGCGTTTTTATCTAGTGTTTTCTGAATTAGGTTATTCCTGAATTGGTTGTTTGTATGGAATATTTGTTTATAAAACAACTAAATGTTCTTAAATCGATTTAAAAGAAAAGTTGGTAGCACTTTAAAATAACTACAAACTATTAACCATTTATTAAGCATTAGCATATAGTGAATTAATTTACTGTTGAGCATTAACTCTACTATAATAAACATAAGTAGACAGTTTATAGCTACAGCTAAAAATGCTGTATTCTTGACTTAAAAGCATGTGTATTGTGCTTAATAATTGTGTTTTCATACTTGGTTAAAGATTCTTTTTTCATTACTAAATTAAGTATAGCATTATTTACAAACCAGTTATTTAAGAGTAGTTGGTGGTTTTTTTAAGATCATTCAGAATGCGCAAGTTAATTATTAATAAACTATTGAAATCAACATTTATATATCTTATTATTCGGGCATATATTAATAGTTAATTTTTATGTTAATAAATGCTTTATTAACTCAACTTCATCTAGTTTTGTGACCTAATCTAAAGTGAGGACTATTTATGCTTTATAAATCCCTTATTAAATTCTTAACAGGAATTATTTTTTTTAATTTGAAGAAACACAAATGAAACTCTGTCAAATGAAAAATTAATCTTTGCAATCTTATGTAAAATAAAATTACTGTACAGTTTAAACATCGCTAAATAATGAAATGTTGCATCCTATTATATTGTTAAATTATATTGTTGTTTAATCCAATTTTATGTCATATTATGACACTCCTGTTATTCAGTAATGTTTAAACTTTACAGTAGTTTAACTTTTTAGATCAGATTGAAAAGATGTATTGGTCATTTTATACTGAGCCTTTATTAGTCATTTAGAAGGGATTTATAAAGCATAAATAGTCCTCACTTTAGATTAGGTCATAAAACTGGATGAAGTTGTGCTAGTAAAGCATTTATCAACATACATGGTAACCATTTCTATATGCCTGAATAATAAGATATATAAACATTGTTTTCAATGGTTTATTAGTCATTTACTAACTCACTCAATTGTCTTAAATATCTCCAACTGCTCTTAAATACAAATGGTTCGTAAATAATGTTATACTTAATTTAGTCATGAAAAATCAATTACTCACAAATTATGAAAGTACAACTATTAAACACATTATAAATGTGCTCATAAGACAAGAATACAGCATTTGTAGCCTTGTATATAAACTGCTTACTAACATCTGTTAATGTAGAGTTAATGCTTAACAGTTAATGTTAATAGCTATTATTGTTAATAGCATATAGTGAATAGTTAATTCACTATATGCTAATGGTTGATAAATGATTCATAGTGTGTAGGTATTACAAAGTGTTACCGAATAGTCTTTCATTTTATTGCCATTTCAATTTTAGTTTTACTGGCAATGTCTCCCATGTCTTTGTCTATAATTTTCCTTATTTGTTTTTTTAAAGAAGACAATCATTAATCTGTCACATGCTTTCAAAATGGTGAATGTATAGTTTGTAAGGAAAGTAAGCAATACAAATGTGAACTGACAGACAATGTTGACTTGTTTATGGTTAATAAATACAAATTATAATTTGGTTACTAAGTCTTTGAGTGCTGTTTCTGGTCTAAGCATATCTAGAATTTATATTCCTAAGTAATGTGTAACATACAAATTATCGTATTAATGGTCAAGGGTAAAGTAAATGATTTACAGTTGCTACTGAAATCAAACTATGTTCAGTATACGAAACAACATTGGTCTTCTTAAAATAATTGGTTTAGGTGTAGTTGTGCCATTTCAGAAAAGATTTACTTGTTTACTTTTTGATAATTATGAATAAACACAATTGACTAAAGTGATGATTTTATGCTGTTAAGTTGTTTAGATTTTACAATGTATTCTTGTTACATAATTATTGTGGCAACCACAGCTGCCAGATTAGTAATTCTATATGTTCAACAGTTTTAAATTGTAAAGAGGTTTACATTTTTATTGTAATTTTTACAAAATTATTCTGGCAACCACAGCTGCCAAAATATTTTTGTAAAAACAACAAGATTTTTTTGTTAAAATACTAAAAATGTAATTATTTCTTACACAAACTTTCTGTAAATTTTACATAATATTAATTTGTTTTTACATAATTATTCTGTACATAAACAGTTTTAAATTGTAAACCGGTTTACAATTTTATTGTATTTTTTACAAAATTATTCTGGCAACCACAGCTGCCAAATTTTTTTTGTAAAAACAACAAGATTTTTTTGTTAAAATACAAAATATTTTATTATTTCTTACATAAAATTTCTGTAAATTTGACATATTATTAAATAGTTTTTTACATAATTATTTTGTACATAAACAGTTTTAAATTGTAAACAGGTTTACAATTTTATTGTATTTTTTACAAAATTATTCTGGCAACCACAGCTGCCAAATTTTTTTTGTAAAAACAACGGAATTTTTTTTACAGTGTATGTATAAAAAAATCCAAACAAGTTAGCCGGATATGTTTTTAAAGACACGACTTTTTTTATTTATTTATTTATTTTTATTTTTTATTATAGTTTTGAAACATTACATAAAGTAAAAATACAATAATTCAGATATATATTATATTCATAAACATTAATATAGTTACAAGATCCAAAAATGATAAAGTAAATATATAACAGGAGAGAAAAAAATTAATAAAAAATTGCAAAAAAAAATAAAATAAATAAAAATAAATAAATTAATAAATTAATAAATAATTAAAAAAATAAAAATATTACAAAATACTTCTATACATATAAACTAAAATAATAACTTAGGATACAATCATCGACTACAGCGGGGGATCAGAACTAGAAAAAAATTCCTTCATGAAATCTAACATTAAATCATTCTTTTTGTTTTTAATTTGCATTAGAGACTTTTTCAGATTTTCCATTTCTAATAAAAAAATATTACATTTTGGTACACATTTCGCAAATTTCTGTTTATGTATAAAATATTTACCTTGTAAAATGTAAAAGTTAACAACATACTCGAATGTTCTTTTTGTGTGTGAAAAAGTGCAAATCACGTCTTTTAAAGATAGCCTGTAATTAACATTTCTTTGCCCAAATAACACGTCACTAACATTATTCCAAAATTTACGAGAGGCATCACAGTTATAGAAAAGATGAGATAAGTCTTCCTCATGTATATTACATAATGTGCAAGTACTCTCAATATCCATGAATTTAGATAAAGTTGCTTTGCAAGGATACATTTTTTGAAGTATTTTAAAGTGCACTTCTTTAACCTTATTTAAAAGGCAAAATTTAAAGGGTATTGACCAGGTAGCTTTCCAATTAATATTAATAATTTTTTCATTCCAATAATATTTCCCTCTAGGGGATATTTTGTGTTTAGATTGAAAGACTTGTCTAATTTTTTTATTATTATATGATGGAGAAAGTATGTCAACACTGTAAATTTTTAATTCTGGGAGTATCTTTTTAATGCCTCCATAAGAAAGGTGATTATTAATTAGTTGTATTAAGCCAGCTGGAATAGCCTTAACCACTTGGTGAAATTCTTTAAAAGGAATTGGAAAGTTATGTATCCTCACAAAATCTTCATAAGATAGTATGTTTCCATTATCATAGAACAAATCTGTAACAAAATATATGTTTCTTTGATACCATTTATGTAAAAATAAAGATTTGTTTCTAGAGGTAATAAGATAATTATTCCATAAGAGAACTTTATGAGGAGAAAAGTTATGCTGAAAACAAATTTTCCAAGCCAATAATACTTGCTGGTGAAATTTGGACAATTTAAGTGGCAATTTTCCAGGAAGATAATTGCATCTCAGGAGAAAAGACAGCCCTCCAAGCTTCTGAAAGATAAATTGAGGTATAAAGAACCACATTGAGTTTCCATATTTCAGACAATTTCTTAACCAATTAAGTTTAAATGTATTGTTAATATCAAAAAAATCTATCATCTCTAAGCCACCTTCTACTCTTTTACCTGATATAACGTCCTTTTTTAATTTATGTGGTTTATTTTTCCATATAAAATCTAAGAAGGATTTGTTAATATTTTTGGAAATGTCATCACTAACATGCATAGAAAGAGCAGGAGACACGACTTTTTATAAACAGGAAGTTGAATGATTACGTATGCCGTGAAGTCCCGCCTTTTCCGACAACAACTAGGATGTAGTCTGTTGCTGTAGTGCATTTTGACTACAGCTGATAAAGGTATAACTTGATGATATTTTATCCGAGAGCTGATCTTTGACAGTACAATGGCTGAGTCTCCAGACTGTCGGAGTCTTGTTTCTGCGTCGTCACAGCTCAATTTAATGGAAATAGAGGCGGTACGTCTGAGATTGACTAACGTTAACGTTAAGATGATTCAGTGTCTATGATTGTGTTAATTTTTGTTATAATTGGTTTGCTTATTTACAGGTTATTAGATAGGTGCGCTTCATTTATGCTTCTTTCTTTTACGTTTGTCACTAAGGTCGTGATTGTTTTGTGCATAACCGTTATATGTTTTTGTAATGTATTATTGTTATTATATTGTATGTATGGTAAGAATCCTCTGCACTTCTTTATAGCTCTGTACTTTGATACATGTGCGTTTTAATATTAAACATGCATTTACATTGTAGATTGACGATAAAGAGTTTGACATCCCTCAAGTGGACACACCTCCGACCCTAGAAAGCATCCTTAATGAGGTCAGTATCAGACTGTCTGTTTTTTTTTTTTTTATTGTTCCCTATCAGCACCCTCAAGATATTAGATGTGCAAATTCACCAGTCGAAGGTTAGAACGCACCTTTATGCTCTTTTCAACGTTTCATAATGTAGAGACAGTTATGAAACCAAGTGACACATGTAAATGGGTTTATGGGAATTATGGATAGACCAAGATTTTATAAACAAACCCTAATGTAATATTATCCACTTTTACAATCAAATGTTTAAAATAATTTGTGAAGAAATTAAAGGGATTGTTTATCC